CAACGCCGCCGCCACCGCCACCGCCGCACCGCCAGCCACCGCGCCACCCGCACCAGCGCCGGCACCAGCACCACCAGTACCACCACCACCAAACACTACCAACACCAACCACCACCACCCCACCCGCCAAAACCACCGCCACCACCAGCATGGGCATGCATTTCGGATGTTGTTTTCTCCTGTTTTCCTCACTTTCCAGGATTAGGCAATTATTCGGCTAATATTCAGCTAATATGAGAATTCAGCACCAAATTTCAAACCTTAGAAAGTCGTTCTGACACGTCCAACTAATATGGGCTTTTCTCCGATCACCCCACCCGCTGCCATACGTCCGTCATCCTTGCGGCCATCTCATGGCAACACTCTTAATCACTCCAATTGGCTCAAAACGGACACGGATTGCAAGGCAAGGCGACTAGCGGAGAAAGACTGGCAAGTGCTACTTCAAACCTTTGCTCGCATCTGCTGGTCTGTGAGCCTTTGGCTTCACAAAGCAGTTCTGCCCAGCTCATCATTGGGCATTTCTCTGAGATCAGGCACCTCATCTCAGGGAGTGGAAAACCGGCATCAAGCCAGCATGGCATGGCATGCAGCCACCAAATGCCGAACACGTGATCAAGCCACACGCACTGCGGTGAAACACTGGCGGAGGGAGGAGCGATCCGCTCTAGGAATCTCAGGAAGACAAAGCGGCGGTGGAACTACCTCAGGCAGAAGACAAGCTCAGCTAATCGCTGTGGAAGCAATCAAAACCAATCAAATGCGACAAGGCTGCTGTAGGCTAGTTGCTGACGTGGGCCTGAACCAAACCTGGCGTCTGATGACACATGGGCGATGTACAACATCAAACTTGCCAATTGGCGTGTAACCGATGCCTGGCGTCAAAGCCGGGGATCCTGACAAGACCTGCAAGGTCAGCCGGCACACACAGCCTGCTTTCCAAAGAAAAGCACTTGCCTCAGGATCTTTGCTGGTGTTTTTGCTCTTCTTCCCTTTGCTGGCTCTCGCCTGACGGCAGCACATGCGAGGTGCGAGAAGTGCAAGGACGGCCAACATCACTTGCCGAGCTCTGAGGCCTGACTTTGCGGTGACGCGTCTGATTCTTAGATGCAAGAAATCTAAGGCAAAGCGTAACAGAACACATCGAAGACCCAGAAGCGCACGCTCTCATGAAACAAGTCGGCCAGCACTGTCATGTCAAACATGACAGGCTTCAAGAATGATGTTCTGCAGGACATCTGGTCAGCACTGTTGGTTTTACGTGCCAAAGCCTAGAACCAGCGCAGTGCGTTGTGGACACAGTGAATGATTCACGTGGTCGCGGGCCTCCTAGGCATCATGTCCATTCAGAACTGGCAGTTCTCAGAGGACTGAAGACACCAGCAGGGGTACTCCACATCGGCATCCACAGGTCAGCTGTGAAAAGGCAACAGCGACAGGCAATTTTCGGATAGCTTGGGTATACTCGGGCTTGAAGACAGCATGAGTCTCTTACAATTAGTAGAATACGCTTGTACTCTTTAATCCGTGCTCCCAATTGCAAGAGAGAGCACCCCCCCACAAGGCACTATTTTGCAACGCCTTGCTCTCCCCAACCGCCGCCGACCAGGTGGCCTCTTTTTCGCTCAGGCTGCGGGCTGGCGTGCTTCAGTTCGTGTGCAGATCATAAATCGTGGCGCCTATCTCTAGACTATTCTACACTTGAGGGTATCGATGTACATGGCGTGAAGCTGAAGGATCCAATACGGCAGACTTAGTGGGTTTTCATGGTATGCTACCAGAGAGCTCTGCACTTACGGAGCTCTGGCATTCTAGGCTTGCTCGGTTCTGCTGGGGACCTGAGACGCCGGAGAAGTCGCTCCACCATGAAATGCCATGCCTGGCCCGGCCCCATCACCCCTCCGCGCCACCCAGGCATGGCATTTTCACGATTGCGAGGATGCCAGCCAGACCAATGTAGACCAGGTGTTGTATCGGTCTGGTTGTGAGATGATGCCGCCAAATGAAAAAAGCACCAACCAACTCCGTGGGCAAATGTGTGCATGACATTTTTGGACTTGGCATGGCTGAGTTCGAAAATCAAAGATGCATTCAAAGCAGGCATGATCCTATCAAATTGGGGGGTCTGTGCAAGGCATTCCCCGACTCCACAAGGCATTTTATTGGCTGTCTCCCTACCGCCATGCTCGGCTACCGCAAGGCATGTCTTAGGAGGAGGGATGCCTTTGAGTGCCCTTGAGTTTCAAAACCTTCCAACTGCCACTGAGGATTTGGTTGCAGCAGAATCACTTTAACACAACCGTGCAGCAAAGAACAAGGAAATGAGAGCTGGTCTGAGCGCAGGTCTTCCAACGCTGGGTGTGATGGCTCTGTCCTTCTCCTGTTGCAGGATAAAAAAAACACCTGGAAAAGTGTACCGGGTAAAGTCCATCTAATGACGCAGCGCCTTTTTGATCTGTGCCCCTGCTCCACACTTGTGCTCGGGATGAGCAAACTTGCCTTGGCAAAGGGACTGCCCAAGTGCTGGTACCAGAAAAATCCAAGGGCAGAAAGGGCCCTGCATTCATCGCCGAGTCTGCACCAACCTTTGGACTTCCAATGGCGGCAAACAACTGCTGACTTCGCCTCTCCAGGTGACAGATTGAAAGAAGCAGTACGGCTGATGTTTTCTGTGATGCCTGCGCTGCCCCGGCATCAGCGGGGTGGCCTTAGCCGACGAAGGCGGATGCTTGCATGCCCTTGTCCTGACTCCTTACAGAAACCTGTGCACCTGAGACAAAACGGAATTTCCTCGTGCTGCTGAAGGCGCTCGAGTCCACTGATTGCTTCGTCCCTTGTCCTTGGAAGTCAGACGGCAGCAAGTCAACAACACAGCGAAATCCACGCAATGTCATGCATAGAGCCGCCGAATCCATGTGAAGCTTATCTTTCCGACATGATTCTCTGGTTGCCTGCGACACTTGGCGAGACCTGTGGGGTCACTGGAGACACCGTGGGTGTCAAGGATGGCCTTTCTCCGTGTGACTGGCCTTACGTTCACGGACACAGATTGGCTGTGAGGTGGCCAGTTTGGTAGGACCGAAGCCTCGTGACCACTGAAGATACAAAGGGTCGCCAGGGCCATCTGTGGAGGGCGCAGATGCCAGGCCCTGTCGCTGTCCACTGAAGCCTGAAAAACTGTCTCTCATTTTACATGTGTGAATCCAATCCTCTGTCCGCTGGATACCTGGAGGTTTTGCATCATCCGCTTCAGATGGAGTCGCATTGGAACGTTCCGAAAAAGATGACGACCTGCATCGAGTGGACTGCACTGCACTGCAACGAGAAATCACAGGCATCACTGCTCCGGCCGCTCCTGGAATGTGACGTTGGAGCTTTCCCTCCGAAGAGAGCTTGGAAATGTCCTCTTGCAAAATTGCTTTGGTGCAGTGAAAGCCTGCAACTTGTTCAACATGACGTGCTTCAATGGCCCCGGATTGAATCTGGATTGTTGTTGATTCTTTTTGCGGGGTGGGGCTGGGCCTGCAAGTTCGACACGAGAACTCCATTGCAAGGCAAAATGTAAGGGCACTCCACGCGAGGGCTCTTTTTCAAGGCAAAGTGTCAAGACGCCCACACGAGAGCGCGAGGTCAAGGTGAAATGTAAGGACGCTCCGCGCAGCAGTTTGATTTCGTTCCACTTGAGAAGTCAATTGCTGCGCTACATGTCCAAAGCAACGACGAAGATTAGATCACCTTCCAAACAAAAAGCGGAGGATTGGGCGCGCGCAACCCCTTCCATGTGAAAAATCTGGGCAAAGATGAGAACATTTGGAGTTTTGCTGTCCTCAAGACACCTCCCAGGCGGTGTGATGGCCTAAACCGAAAAGCGAGGCGGTAAAGAGATGAGAACATGCACCTCTTTGCTCAGTCTAGCAAAAGATCGCCCAGTCCATTCCTTCGTTTCCTCGTGCTATTTCTTGTTCCTTCTTGGTATCCGTGTATGAGCTTGGTCTCCCTCGTAGGGAATCTTGCTGCAGCAAGCTCCAAAAGAACCTGCTTTATCACGTTGAGACGTAAGAGGGCATTGCAGGCCTCTTCGTGGAATTTGATTCCTTTCCTTGAGCAATCCTGGAGCCCCCTCGAACCGCTAGGCTTGGCGCTGGAACAGTTAAGCCAAGTGGCCATGTGCGAGACAGGTACGGACTGAATCTGTGCAAGAATGAAAAGCAACAACCTTTCACCCAGAAGAGACCATTTGCGGACTTCTCCCTTGCCTGCTGAGGCAAAACCATACTCATCTTGGCTTCGGCTAGCCTAGGTTTTGGAAGTGGCGATGCCTCTGTGATCTCCATCAGCCTCACACTCATCCTGCCAGGCAAGGGGATACATGACTAAGAGTTACACCTGGAGCCTGCCTCAGAGGATTCTTCCCTCAACGGCAATGATGCCACGTTGGCCAGCTTCATTGTGTCAGGCTCGCCTGCTGGTCATTCAAGGTAAGGAGTCGGCCGTGGTGAGCATCACGGAGCATGGTCAGAAGTCAGAACTGGCAAGCCCTTTGCTTGGGCCAACAGGCCTGTGTTCTGGTTTTGAGGGTCTGCCTGTTGCGGTGCAAACACATGTCCTGAGCGATCAATACAATCAGCAGCATGGGGAAGACATAAACATGATTCCTCAAGCTGCTAACCATGCGTAAGCTGTGTCAATCGAGTCTCCGAACGGAATGCCTTCAGAAGGATTTCCATAGGCGTGCTGTTGCGGCTGTTCTCTGCTCATACGACGAGGCCAATTCATAGAAGCATGGCAATCCTTCGAGCAGGATGCAGCATGTTTGGCCATCACCGGCTTTCTGCAAGTCCTGCTGGCGCAGCAGTTTCACCTGACGCTCCACTTCCTGTTGCACTAGCTGCTCCACCTGACAGAACACTTCCGCTTGTCCATCTGGCCATGGTACCCAACAAAACGGAAAGTGCAATGATTGCAGCCCAGCCACCGCTGTCCTGATAGATCCGCAAGGTCACAACACAAGATGCGAACGACAACTGCAATAAGTGCACACGACACACTAAGTGCCTTTTGCCTAGCAGAGCACAGCGGAGGACGGATAGCAGGATGCAAAACAAAGTGGGGGGATGTTTTTTTTAGCCACGAAACACGTCCACAAGGGTAGAGATTGCAAAGCAGCAGTTGGGTGTTAAGGGCTCCAAAACCCTTGAAATTACTTCTGGGAATTAAGCTACAAAGCTCGGTTGTATATCGCAGATGGCATGATCAAGCACTCTCCTACCACGAAGCAAGAGAAGCCATGTGAAAATCAGCTCACCGCTGCAAATCACGACTACGCTTGCTCAGTGGAGCGGCAAGGTATACTGACACTCCAGAAGCAGACAGGTTGTGTGCATGCACCCCTGCAAACTGCTCAACACAGTCAAGTCTCACCATTCCCTGGACAAACGGCGCACACACCTGCAAGCAGCTCATGAAGCAGCAGAAGCTGTGCCAGCCTACTTGCAGCTGCCTGCGACAAGAGTGTGCGGAGGGAAGATTCAGAAGAGCTCTGCATGTCCATGCCCGGCAAGGCTTTGCCATTAAGCCTCCCAAAAGCCATGCACGCAGTCGGCAAGCCTCAACAAAACCCTTTGAGATGAGCAACATGGAGCCAAAATGTGGAGCTTGCCAAGCTTTGGGATCAGGCATTCGCACCTCATTTGGCAAGTTCTCTGTGTTGAGGCGCTCAGGAAAATCCAATTGAACTCAGATGGTTGCCATCAACGATGGTGACGGTGTTGGATGCGCCCAATCCTTCAGCAATACCATTACGCTGCAGGCTAAGTTTGAGCATGAGATTGAAATTGTTGAGCGCGCTTTCTGCCAAACGCCGCCTACACCATGTCTCATTGTGGCCCCGGCTGGTACTGAAGGCATTGCTGGCGTGTTGGTGGGAGACGACATGCCACCGAAGCCTGCACCGAGCAATCTTCTAACGGAGTCTAACATGGATTTGACTGCCTGCAACTACACCATTCGGCCTTGGCAAATTGCTGCCACCAGCTGCTACGTTACACACCTCCTGTACAGTTGGTTCACAACTGTTGTCAGCTCTGCTGGAACCGAAAAGGCTGGACGGAAGCAGGCAAACTCACGTGTTCGAATTCATTGCAATGTGCCTGCTTCATGCGCTATAGCTGGAATGGAAGCGGAGACCAGCCCTAACGGCCCTAACGCTTTGAGGGATGTTGAGAGTTTAGATTTTGCACCATGACGCCAAAGCTATCGGGCCGCACCTTCTGATGATGCTGGGGGACAAGTAAGACGGCATTAGCCATCCCGTGCATGTACATGAAGCATTGGGTGAAAGTTTGTTGGGAATCTGGTCCGAAATCATCAATTGCGCTACGAGTGCTTGGAAGGAATCACCTCATCTGACAGCCTCGTGGAGTTCCTGGACACCTTCTATGTCATCACCAATTTTGCACGCGCACGCGCACGTGCAGGGTTGGATGAGGTCGCTGGGGACTGCAGCGGCCCGTTGCAGACCTGCATGTAAAACTCGAGCACTCGCTGAACCTGGCCCAGCCCCTTCAGGCATCGCAGAGCTTGGCGAAGACATGCGGCGAGGCGACAAGCCCAAGGCTTTGCGCAGCCTCGTCGTCCTGGGCACGCTCTTGGGACACCCGAGAAGCGCTTGCACATGGAGCGAAACCTTCTGCACCATTTGCCGCACAATGCGCCTGGCTGCTGTTCCTAATGCGCGCGCATCCCTAGCGAACCATGCTGCCCCCGTCCGAATCCGCGGCCTCTGCCCGAGCACACGACGAAGCAATCTGGAATCCGTTCGAGGTACGTCGTGCTCTTGGAGCACGCCCTCGAGGCGGCGGAGGCCAGGCGTGTCCTCCGAGCCGCGGTGGGCAGACTGCACCACCTGGCGCGCGGTCCACGACGGCCAGCGCCCCCCAGCCTTAGGGGAAGCAAGCCCAGGCGAGTGGCCTGTCATGCGACGCGGATTCAAACCACACACGCTCCCGATAATGTGCTCATGCCAACTTTGCCGCTCATCTCCCAGGCACTGCTCCGCTCGCAAGCGGGTCACGCTGGAGATTGGCTCACCGCTGTCCCAGCTGAATCTGCCACCGCCTTGATGCCACAAGCCATGCAGGTGGCGTTGCGGGGGCGCTTACGACTGGCGCTGCCACTCAGCCCACCAAAGTGAGCATGCTCGAGTTCGCGTGGGGCGAGAGGCCGTCGACACCGAAGCCAGGTCATGCAAGGTCGTGCCACAACAGTGGACGGCCCCGGATGTACAGCCCCAGGATCGCCGACGCTTGGACATTATGGTGTACAGCAACAGGGCGGGCCGGCACGCTTTGATGCGATGCGATTTTGCGATTTTGGTGTCCCCTCTCACACGGACGGGTTTCGCACAAGCATGTTCCGTTGAGGTCGACGGTACTACCTTACAAGTGGCGGAACGCCGCGAGCCACGCGCGGCGGCTCTGAGCGCGTGCTGGTGCTGGGGATGGAAATTGGAGGCAGGTGGAGCGCTGGACTCCGGGCTCCCCCTGCAGTCCGTGGTGGGGCGTCTTCTGGCTGGGCTTGCCCCTGTGGTCTGTGTCGGCCCTGTCGGCCCAGCGCCGTGGCCCGCTGTAGCGCAGCCATGTTCAACTTGCGGTGGCCCCCCTGCTATACTGCATGATAGACCTCGCGGCCGATAACGCGGCCCAGCAAGACACCCCAAAGACAAGTCGTGCAGACGCAAAAGTCCGAGCAAAAAGAATGAGTTTAAAAAAACTGGAAGAAGCCACTTCAGCTATGGAACGTTTGTGACAAACCTCAAGAATCCATGTTCCCTGCACATCTATGCTTAAACCATGATGAGACGCCGTACTGACTCCCAGACCTAAATATCCCGAAAGGAGACCAAAATTCCAACTTTCTTGTCCCCTCTTCAAGTGCGCCGGCATCCTGAAAGACGCATCATGAAGTACTGCACAAGCTTGAAAATGTGGAGCATGCCAACACTTACGCAATGGAGCTGGGCAAGCACGTAGGTTGTCCCCCCACCCCCCCAACGCCCCAACCCATCACGCGCTAAGAGATGACTGCGGCGACGACCTCAGAGGAAGGCCAAATACCCGGCAAACGATAGCGGTGGACCTAGACCTCTGAACGACGAGACTGTCAAGTTGCAAGCACGCACAGGTCACAGGCAGAGGAATTCTGCATTCCAAGCCATCTGATTAACGCTAGGCCTTTGCAGGCCGCTATCATGCATTCTGGCGATCTGGGAGAGGCGAGAGGACCAAGCCACGGGGAAAAACGCGCTCGGCAGTTGGTCAAGCTTTTGCGAAGCCCTGCACATTGACCTCGGGAAATATCACCACGCGTGCTTAACTCAAGCATTCCCAAACCCAAGGCTGCTGCTTCCGCGCGGCCCATGACGAATTGCGTTCAAAGCTACAGGCTACTTCCTGCGGTTTGTGATCCTTCGTTGTTCGGGCGGCAGACATTGATCGTGGCGCAGGCGAGGGTAACGGGGATTGGCTGCCCACTCTCCAGCTCTGGTGGTTGTTGCCCGTTGATTATGATGGGGTAGCCGGCAAAGAAAATCTCACCTTCGGGGATTGGACCAAGTTTGTCGAAGGCATAAGTCATAGTCATAGGGCTGCGAATTGTTTGTGCGTGGCCATGTCACCTTTTGATCAAACCAACCCCAAACTGGGATGAAGTGCGCAAGGGATTTCCGATAGCTTCTCCTTTAATGCATTCACCTTCCTGGGCCCTTGCATCTGCAGATAACTGCTGCAGTCATTTAATTTCGTATGTCTCCCAACTACATCAATCTGACGCTACCACCGAAATACAAAATTAAATTTACACCTTTTTCATGGTGCAACATATTTCCCTGACCAATTCCGTGGGATCCTACTGCAACACCTTGGGGCTATGTTACGTGATCTTGGTTGAAATAATGCATCGTTGAAACTTGTACAACAGAGCATTCCGCGTATAGCACTATCCAGAAGCCGATGGACCCAATTCCGACACTGCAAAATACATCTGGGTAGTATGGCGTCCAACCTTTTGCTGTGGTGCATCATTCTGTCAAGAGCCACTGAATTGAGGTCAGCTTGCCATGAGGCTGTGTCAGTGATGGTACACATCCCGCATCCCAAGCACAAGGTCTGCAAGTACGGTAGGACCGCTGATGCTGCGGACCCCGTGGAGAAGCTTGTTCATGCATACTCAAACACGGCCGAAGCAAGGTCAAGCAGCACCTGTTTCATTGTTGCGAACCTCGGATCATGGCACCTCAATATCTGTGCACAAGCATCAAAACGCATCTCAGTCAGCGGCAACCCGTTGGTCTCGCCAATGCCCTCATATGCATGCGGGATAGGCTTCAAGCTTGATGTGGAGCTTAGCGCAAGGATTTCAGCACATTCCAGCACCAGGTGGCTGTTCCACGGATGGTGGGGGTGAGCACCACGACAAATAGCAATACCTCAATGCAGACCGGTCGTGCAATGTGCAACAACTAACTGCACTAAGGGTTGAGCACTGGGCCACTGGGATAAATGCAACGACGAGCGGATCAACGTAAGAGATGATGCAACAATGGATCAAATACATGACCTGAACTCGACAGCTGCAACCTGCCTTTGCCTCATTGCAAACACATATTCTGAGCCCAAAGCGACAAATATCAAAGAAGATTTGAGCTTGGAGAGCATGCCTAGAAGACACCTTGCATATTGACAGGCCGACATGCCACGTGACATGGTTGTAGGGACGTTTTACTCGTATACGTTAAACACGTTTCCCGTCTGAGGGGGAAAACTCCGCTCGTCTTTTTGTAACTTCCTGGGCCTTCCAGGCTTCAGGCAAATGCGTGGTCTGCCTTATATGGTGCCTTTGTTTGATTCTTTTAGTATGGCGGGCTAGCTTGTGGGGGTTGGCGCGGAAAAACTCGGACAAATAATGACACTGTTTTTACGGCCACCGAACGTGCACAGTAGCTGTATGACACGCTCGTTGTGGTGCTCTAGGGGCTGGCTCGTATGCAGGTCGAACAAGGCAAAACACACGTGCGGGACGCAGCCAGGGAAAGGGACTGAGCGCTCCGCACGTCTCATCCCAGGCTGATGGGCTGGATGCAACCAAGCCGGCATGGTGGCATGCGCTGCCGCGCCATGTACGCATCAACCGCGGGCTGCGAGCCGTGCCAGAGCGGGAGGACACTTGCAACAACCTCAGTGCACGTGTCGTCAATGACCGGCATATCGATGTTCCTGTCGGGGATCGCACGTCTCAATACCACCTTTCTCCTAGCAAACGCGAGCAATTGAACGCTGGAGTGGCAACGCGTGGGATCGTGTGGGGAACGCCGGAATCCGGCGGTGCGCCAGCGTGTCCTCCAAATGGAACTGTGCTCTGGGGATGATGATGGTCACGCGGGCTGAACGATTGAAGCCAACGCAGGCGCACTGTACCCACTAGCCCTCACTAAATGCAGGGACTACATGACTAACTAGGTGCAATGATTCGATTGCACGGAGGTGGCGCCTCCTTTCGGGCGCGGCAGCAGCGGACGGTAGAGTCTGCTAGCTAACAAGCGTCGAGAGCAGCCGGCCGGCGACTGCCCGGGCCCAGGGCATGGATGACGTGCAAGGCTTGATTGAAGTCGGACCTTTGGAGGCTGTACTATTAGACAACGAAAATCATCGGGTCGCCGGGAACCGCCGTTCCAGTACCTAATGGTATCACCATGGAACGAAAATCTACCAGGTCACCGGGAACGGCCGTTCAATACTAAAGTTGTACTACCGAATAGTGAAAATCCATCAAGTCGCCGGGAACAACCGTTCCAGTACTACGGCTGTACTACCAGACACCGAAAGTCCATCAGGTCGCCGGGAACGGCTGTTCCAGTACAAAAAAAATTGTACCACCAGAGAACGCAATAGTCCGTAAATGCAGAACCCGCAGGGCACACAATAACGCAACGACTCTCAGGATCTGCAAGTCTTGTTTTGCACCAAGACTACAGTGAACAAAGCACGTCATATTGTTCACAACATTCAGTTTGTGGCGCAATGTGTCGAGCAGCTGATGCGTGTGAGATGTGATCAATCTATTGTTCGTTGCGTGCTGGAGTAGGGCTTGTATATACACTAGCGTACACGTTTCACGATTCTGACCATGACCCATGGTCGTTCAAGGACATTCCTCTCTCAGTACAAGCACTTCCTTTCCACAACAGCAAGACGCAACGACTTGTACAGTTGGGAGTATTGTCCTCACCGTGTTGGCTGTAGAGACGGCTATTAGGCTGCTGATAGTGCAGCTTGCTTCGGTCCCAGGCCAGGTGGGGCGTGGAGGTGGAACAAAAAATCTGAATGCTTCCGCCCTTTCATGTTGAAGTTCATGTTAGCCTCACTGTGTCTCAAGCAACTAGTTGCATCAATCTTTCAAGGTTTGCAACCCTCAAGTCTGAAGGTTGCAAATTTCCCGCATAAGGCTGTCCACTGCCGTGCTTTCGACCACCTGTTGCACAACCACCGACAGCACACGTCCCGCGGCTACTAAGATGGCAAAGGATGCCTGCGCACTCAGAAGCACACCATTCCTGGACAAGAAGCCACACGCTCGTTCCTTCCGGCAACGGCTCACTTCCGAGCCACGTGTGAGCTTCGGATAGGCAGGATGCTTGCACCGCAGACATGCGCAGACGTGACGTTTTGCGAAAACGCATTCTTCAGCGGGGCCACACAGAAATTGACCCAATTTGAACTGACACTATGACCAATAATTCCCACGACATCAGAAAACTGGCCACACATCGTGCATGTGGAAAAAAACGCCGCCGACAGCAGCATTGATCAAGTGCAAGCGAGGCACAAAAGCAACTGCACGAAAGTTGACGCATGACGAAGCCCGTCATCGTGCACCTTCATGTACAGGAGGACCTGATGCAACCGCAAGCATCGGTGCACGGAATGTGTTTGCAGATCCTAATCTTTCGTTGCACATCAGTTTCTAAGGCACTGGCACAACACCACATGCCGCAGTAGAAGAAAAAAACTGCCATTGCCTGACAAAATCGGACAAAGCACAAATGTCGACATGAGCCCTGGCGTTCAGCTCGCTGAATAAAACAAATTTGATGAGAGGACATCGCCCGGATGTGTGATCAAACTTTGTTCAAATATGATGTCATGGTCACATCAAGGGCCAGCACTGGTAATAATAATCAGGATAATAATGCAAGTGTATACCAGTGCAAATATTTCGCGTAATGGTAATGGCACTTAAAATAATAAGATGAATAACCACAAATTATAATGCTTTATAATTTATAATAGCACGTATTCCCACTCTTACCCCTACTCCTGCGCCTATTTACTTTTTGATAATAGCAATGCCAATAATGGTAATAATCCTACTCATTTTACAAATGGTAATGAAGGTGAACACGCTGAGTAAGGGAAAGAAAAATGCTAAATGATACTAATAGCAAGTATATACCATATTGAATTCTGCGTGGGAGGGTTGGGCGTTTTTTTCCTCGGATTTTTACACCTGCATGTCTGTCCTCCATCCAATTCAAACAAGCTACACAACGCCAAACTACGCCCCGAGCAGCTGTTGTGGCCCCGTTTTGGGGCCGCTTTGCATCAGTGCAGCGGCAGCCGGCTGGGGCCGTCCGTGGGCGTGAGCTGCATGATCTCGTCCAGGGACGGCACCCGGTCCTGGGCCGCGCCAGGTACCGTATGCGCACGCCCCAGTGCAGTGTGGCCGACCACGCGCTGCACTGCCACTGATAGAATGCTCCACCGTCGCCGCGCTCATGCCGCCTGGGCGGGGTCGCGTGGGGCCCGGCAAGCGCGCAGTTTGACAAGGCGCTGCACGAGCGAGATCGCGGAGGCATTCCAACGTCCCCCAACTTTGCATGCGAGCACGCATGGGGCTTGAGCGTTTCCTTGCGCTTCCGCCACGGGCACAATGCCCCAGCCACATGATGGTGCTCCTGCGTGGGGCGAGCCATTTCAGGACAACAGTGACACCAACGCATCGCAACAAATGGCCCCTCCATAGATGACCAAGTCGAATCGCCGGCGGTCCTCTGCGGCAACGCCGGGTGCGGTATTGTTGGCGGAGGTTCAGGCGCGTCTGACGGGAGAACGTGCGTGTAGTGTAGTCCCGCACGATTTGATGGGCCGTAGCGCCGCCGTCGAGCGGCGTGGCTGCCATAGGCACGCCCGCATTTGCACATAGCATTGCGAAGCGGCGATCCTGCAACAAGAAAGCCAAATCTCTTCTGCAGTTGGGGCACTGCCCGTGGTGATGCACGCATTGCAGGATGCATGGCAGGTGCGCGAAAGCACCGCAGCACGGGAAGAGCGAGTCACTGGCCCCGGGCGGCCGGGCCGGCTCCTCGAGACAGACAGGGCAAGCGGCCGGAGAGGCCGGAGGCGTTGCATCACCGAAGCGCGAGGAGTCGGGTGACCGTAGGGCGGGCGAGGCCGGAGAAGAGGGCACGGGGATGGGTGTTTCACCGTTCATCGTGCGGTATGCAGCACACAACACAAGGCACAGCAAAAGGTGGTTGGACAAGTGCAAATGCGAATGTGCAGGCTCTGTTGTCTCCAAATGTGATTTTTTTTGTCTCGCACCTTTTTGAGCCCAATCCACACGGTCCCTGCGCGGAACCCGAGTCCAAAGCTCATGGCCGGCTGGCCACGCGGGGTTGGAAAAGTCCACGACACGCGGCCGGCTGGCCTCTTCACCCCCGCGGGGGGAGGTGGCTGGCGACAGGGCCTGCTGGCCCGTAGCGCTCTTCGGCGAGGAGATCGCTGAGGGCTGGGATCGGGCCATCGACGTTGGCTGTGCCATGCAGGGGAGCAGACTGGAGCGAGGCAGCAAAGGCACGGCCACTGGCACAACTGGCACGGAGGCGCGCTGGTGCAGACCGCGCCCGGCTGCGAGCGAGGAGCCGAACAAATTCGACAGCCTCGGAGCTCCAGCGGCCTGCAACTTCGATGGCGAGCACGACTAATCGGAATCGCTGGGCACGTATGAGCTCAGGGTAGGTGCGCTCCTTGGCCAGGCGAGCGTGATTGTGCAAATCAAGCGGTGTCTTCCCGCAGCAACGGCCACGTTCAAGGCGGGCCGCAGGCCGAGAAACTAACGGAAGAAACCCTTTAAACACCGAAGGGGCCGTACCACGGGTTTAACAGCTGCGGCAGCGGCCTGGCTTGGCAAAAAGGCCGCAAGCGCAACAGCTGGACACTGATCCTGTCACAAAGGCCCAGCCCAACCAACAAGCAAGCCAAGAAGCCGAGAAACCCAAAAGCCGAGAAACAACCGAAAACAAGAAAAATTGCCCACCCCAAAAAATGTGTGTATATCATTTTTCGCGTGTGCACGAACAGAAGCAGCCCAAAGAAAAATCACGGAGAGTCAGATGGCGGTAGCTTCAATGCACAGAACGGATCCAAGTTCACTGAATACAATGTCCGTGACATGGGCCTTTTTCGATGGGGCAGCAGAAACGAACGGAACTCCACGCATATTCGCTTGACCACGGGGCACAATTGCCGAAGTAATTGCAAGGGGAATACTCCCCATTTTTCCCCTTGCCGTTACGATCATTGTTGTCTTTTCTTGCCCACGTTCCTTGCCCTTTTGGCAGCTGCCTTTTTTGGAAAAATGCTGCCCCACCCCATGATTCAGCGCCATCATGAGATAGCTGACCCGAACGTGGCAAATGCAACCGCGGAAAAAAATGTCGCCGTGAAGAAGCTGAAGGCCAACCGTGGGGATGGCAGTGTGGGGATGCAACACGCCGCCATGAAGAACCGACCACGTCCCCATGCACCTGGACGCACAAGGGTTCGTGGACGCGTTACCTAGGCCATCGATCACCTCCCTCCCCCCACCCCGAAACTTGCAAATCACCGACCTGTCTCACATCAGGAGAATGATGGAGAATGTGGGATTGACCACCACCACCACAATCTCCAGGATATAAGTCCTGTGAAATACCGCGGGCCACGACAAGAACACAAACTGCAAGAAAACAACCGCAAAGAACAAAAAAGGCGTCACAAAGATATTGATGGCGATCTGTGGGCATTAGCAAAACGTGGTGATAGCATGGCAGGCGAATAGCGTCGCCGTGACGAAATGGACCGCCAGCCATGGACGTACTACTGCCATACAAAATGTTAACAACGCAAGCCCAAGCCAGAACATGTATGGACTTGCAGACCAAAAAGGGCGTCATTCGTTGCGTTTTAGGCCAACAAGTGAGTTTATGCGACAAGCACGTGCCCATCGCACGACACATCAAATTGTTCGAGGCCATCGATGTGGAATACCGACGATTACTGCGTTTTTTTGCTGGTTCCCAGGTGTGGGCTGGATTGGAGCATGCCATGGCATCAGATTGTGCACAACTGGAACCGACGCGCTCTTGATCATCGAGCAGGATATCACATGCAAAGTTGGTCTGACACATGTGTTCGCCAGTATCGGAAATTCGTCTCGCACGTCGCAGAACTTGGGTAAGGCGTGTCATGGAATGGTTTCCAATTGGCACCCGCGTGGGCAGACCACGAGATACTTGGTGCACACAGCTTGAGGCTTTTGCTCGGGTCATGGGATGGAGGATTGGACAGCATTTGCCCAACATTTCCAAGACCGGCAACGTACGTGTGACAGAACTTCGGTAAGGCGTGTCATGGAATAGTTTCTAGTTGGCAGCGGTGCGGGCAGGCCACGAGATACCTGGTGCTGCCTGACCAGTGCTCTTACAAAGCCGCCTAATGCCCAAAATACTGCCCGAAATGGTGCAAAGCACCCTTCCTTCAGCGCGAAATCGTGTTTCGGGAGGCCTCCGCACAAAATTGCACCGGATGATACGTTTCATTGATTTTTTGCATTGTTTGAAGCTTTTACCGGTGAGATAAAATCTTTTCATGGGAATGACAACATTAACGTCTATTTACGTGAACTTCCTTGGCCATGAATTCCACGACCGGAAACGTACGGTCGATGCTTTTGTTAGGTTTGTATCCCATTGACATGCAGTGCTTGAAATCAAGCTTTTTTGTAAGACCAATAGCCAATTCGAGTTTTGCTTTGCGCCTGCGCTCCTTGGGGGCTGGCGACTGGCACGCAAGTTGATTGACTGACTGCCTGACTGCCATAGAGGATCGGCAAACAAGTTCAATGCGAACTGTGAGGATAATTCTGCAGGGGGAGGTGCCATTAGGAGGTAGTTGAGCACGAACCGTGGGGATGCTTCTGCAATACAATACAGTCGAGAAGAAGGAATATCACTATTGAAGATGCAACACGGCACACATGGTTGACCGTAAACCGCCATGAGCCGTGGGAAAAGCCCTTGTCTTGCACGATTTCAGTCCGGCGTCTGTGAAAGACTAGCCGACTTTTCTGCTGCCAAATTCAGCAGGCACAGGAGGAGAGAAAAGGCAAGACTGTGGAAGCTCAGTAGGTCATGAACACCATCGCCTCTGTAGGGAGGCTCCACAATGAAGAAGCGGACCGCGATCCGTGACAATGCCATCAATGAAAAATCGCCACCGTGAGGAAGTTCACTGCCGAACGTGCCAACGCCACCAGGATAAGAGCTGCTGCCAAGAAGAAATTGTCTGTGAACGCCGGGGATGCCACCGCGGCAAGGAAACAATGAAGGAGTGGACGGTGAACCGCAAGGACACCACCGCACTAACAAAACGCCACCGCAACAAAAAGAACGCGGCAACGGCTACGGCAGTTAAAGCGCGGCCATGAAGAAGTTGACCGCGAACCGTGGAGATTCCACCGCGGAAAAAGCGCCACCGCAAAGAAGTTGGCGATGCCAAACGCGCATCGCAGGTATGCCAAGTTGAGCGCCAGCAGTGGGGTTACCCTGCCCAAATCTGATCACGTGGTTGGCTTTGCAATGTCAGCAACTTCGTTCTTGGGCAAATTCAACACGGGGCCGCTTTGGCCCAGGCACTGAACCAAAGAGTGCAACATGTCCAAGCTTTTGTTGCAACGATGTCAAGAAAAACAAAATGCCGTCAGCAAACCTGAGGCCATCCAAGCGGATCGCTTGGTTGAGCGGTTGTTGTATAGGTGTCCATTTGTTTTCCATCGCTCACTCCCGCACCGTGTTCGATGGTATTTACCGCTTCCGCATATTGATCAACATGCAAACACTGCAGGCCAATACAATATTGAGCTGCAGAAATGTCAGTGCTCAGTACCCAAACCGGCATACCGCAATGGTGAGTTTTGTTGCTGAACAGACTGGCTGTCGGTAAATGCTCTTCAAATCGGCGATTGGGTCTGAATCCGTGTTGAGTTGTTTGCAAGAACGCTGCAAATTTGGAAGCATCTCATTTGTCCTGCCAGATTTGCGCGATCCAAACATCGATCAACCAAGAATTTTGATAAACGTCGACGGCTGAGTTTCCAAATCCAAACACTATAAAAACAAAAGTTGCGGGCATGGAGGATGCAAAGATGCGCACAACTTTTCGGCACTCGAACATCTGGAGGATGCCTCGCAAGCTGTCAGGCTGCATTCTACAGCTGGGCATGTCACGCTTCACTTAATTGTTGTCAAATTCATTGGTGGGGGACCTGCAGCTGAACCCGAATGGCCTGAACTTGGACTGGAACAAAAGCAACTGATGAGCGCGGTTTGGCAATTGGATTGTTACATCATGCGCTCATCGCCGCCGCAACCATGCTCGAAAGTTTGTTGGGTCAGTTCAATCACGTGCTTACCATTGGTGATGCGCCCTCCACGTGGCAGAAAACATTGCATCGCATTCTGGCAACAACTCCTACAACAAAAAGACAGGTGATTATCGTCCGATTGCGAACTTGCGGCTAATGCGCAACATTTTTTCTACATGTGTTTCTGCACAATTTGATTTTAAGCCTGATCGTCGGATTGCTAACCGCAAAACTCGCGCAAATAACATGCCGCTGTGGATGTTGAGCTTGGATGTGTCAGAAACATTTGAGAAGGCTGACTGGCAGGCGTTCGGGCAAGCTCTTCGTGCCCATGGCGTATCGCAGCAAATTTGTTTGGCGTTTACAATGTTTGTACTTCGGAAACAAGGTGAAAAACTGCGACCAACGATCGGAGTGAACCATTTGACGTCCGGGCAGGAGTCGACAAAGGTTGTGCTTTAATTCCACGTTTGTTGTGTGCAGTGCTGGAGTTGGCCGCGCAAGATTGGAAGGCACGTGGGCGTAATTTCGAGTTTCCTGTGCAAGCAGGCTGCAATCCATGTATTAGGCATGTTGCGATCGCCACTTGCGCCCGTGAGAGAGGTAGGGCTACATTTAAACGCGTCCAAGATCCGTGGACGACGGAAGCTCAGCTTCCCGCCTACCCGTGGTTGGATTTAGACACCAATATCCACTTGGTCCAAACACACAAACGGTTGGGATGTTTTCTTTCCGCCTCAGGAGATTGAAGTGCACTAGCTACTCCCTAAAA